GGGAATTCCTTCTCCTTTATCATGAAATTCCCCATTTGCCTTTTCATCTCACTCATTAAATTTTAAGCATTTGCGGAACCTTGCATTCTGTGGACCAGTACTTGAATATGAAGCTTACGGATATATCTGTGGCAGAGCCAGAAAAATTCCCACAGATGCACGCTGTAAAGAACTGCTTTATTCGTGGTTCTGTTGTAAGGTAAGATCTCTTTTAACAGGACTTCATAATCTAGGTTCTTGTGTCATTCAAATAATTGTTCTATCCGAAGTTAGCTTATAGTAGCGTCCAGACCATCTATGTGAGGAGAGCCCGTAATTTTGTACTTGTTTACCAAATTTCACTTTTCTTAGGTACGTTCAACTTCCTGCCGACCGAGTTGATACTCAACTGCTTCAAGATGCATCTAGGAAAGAGGCAGCAGCTCAAAGCCGAAAATGATGATTATGTGAACATTTTTCTTTTATCAGTCGATCTCTTTTTGATAAAGAAGATACAGCGCCTTGTTTTCCATTCTCTTTGAAAATTTTTCTTTTTTTTTAATTGTATAGTGTTGAGGGAACCCCGTAATTTCCACATGAATCTAAATTGCTTTTGGAGATGATCTGTAGGTGCTGCTCCACATAGCTACCGAAGTTGCTTGGCGCAATCTGAAGAGGCATGCTAAGGCAGCAACTTGCATTGTTATGAAACAAGAATGAAAATGGTGCTAATGGCATAGTTTCTATTACAGTAATCCGTGCTCTCGTGTTGCTTTCAACTTTGCGGCGCGCAAACAGCTGCCTCTTTGCTCTTCATTGTCGCGAAGGCTGCACGAATTACTGTAGCTGAAAACTGTGTTTTTGGTGTTATTTTCTTAAGTTGTGAACATCTTAGTGCTGCTATGAGCACCGGTGTAATTCCAGAAGAACACATATAATGATGATGTACGTAAAAACCCAGAAAATTAAAATACCTCAATTTAGATAAGCCGGATATCCACAGCTGCACCGGCGCAGGAGCAACGCGTATCACGTGTTTCATGAAAGGTATTTTTTTTCTGGGTTTCTCCATACTTCATAATCATAATCAGCCGATCGAGGGTGTGCAACGGTTGCACTGCTGCCCTTCTGTTTTGTAAGGTTACTTTCTGTTGAGTACCGATGTGGCGTAATTCGCTCTATCCCAACTTTTCCGCGCTTTTTTCTTCTGACTCTAACTTGTCTTTTATCTTTTGAGTAGTGCAAAATTCTCGAAAGTCGGTAGCAAGTGTAACGGAAGCAGAGCCGTAACGTTTGGCTGTGACGCCGGAACGCAACCACCGCGCACCATCAATGGGCAAATCCTTATTGCTCATAAAAGCGTTACAGGGATTGGCTAGTCCTTATGAAGTATGAGATATCCTCCGCTGTACACACTATATTCACCTAGGCCGCGCCGCGCAGTTGCTGCGCGTGCTACGAGCGTTGGCGTTGCAGCGTTGCGCTCCCAAGATGCGGTTTTCTGCAGGAGATTAGAG